TTTCCTCACTACCGCCTTCAGTTTGCAGGGGTATGTTAGAATAACAACACTTATTTTAAAATGTTATGTTCATATTGTAATTGATTATATACATTTAAATTAATTGATTTTATATATAGAAATATTTTATTATATAGTTTTATATTTAGAAATATTCTATTATATAGACCTCATTATAGGATCTTTGTATATACACTAAAAATAAGAAAGCAATATTTTTTTAATTATTTATTCTTCTTTTCTGTTTTATTTCAATTTGTTCCATGTTGCAATAGTTTATTTCAAGTTATCTCAAGATGAGATATAAAACCACGATGGCATTATTTATAAAAAAAAAAAAAAAAAAACACGATAATATTATTATTATTGTTATTGTCATCATTATTACATATATATATATATATATATATTTTCTTTTGCCTCGTGGATTTTCTTGAAACCATGTGCCGATGAAGACAAAGATTTCATCCGTTGGTCCGTGTTGTCCACATCAGTCTTGTTGTAGGTTCCATCAAAGCTGGCAAAATTTACACATCAACGTTAAATATTGAATTTGTCCTTGCATAGAATAGACTAGAAGTTTTTTAATAAAAAAAAAAAGAAAAAAGAAAAAAGAAAAAAAGAATAGACTAGAAGTTACTGTTCATGATTAGGAAAACTGAAATGTTAATATCCTTAATTGAAATAAAAAGTTCTTATCTTAGTCGTATAAAAATATCTCAAAAGCTAGTAACGTTAGTATTCCATTTCCCCCCCTCCAATTATCACTATGAGTATGTTTTACATAAATATACTAACATGCATTTTTTTTTTAATGTTTTAACCATGCATTTATTTTAAATAAAAAACATTAATTTTTTTTATGGAAACTATGTCATATATTCAACTAATCACAAGGGTTATAAAAACTAGAAAATGACCGGGAAAATGTTTAATATGAAGTCCACATTGCATGCTATGGGTGCCCCAAATAGATAAGGCTAGATATCATCCCCTCGTCCCCTTCTAATACAAATAATGAATAAAGACCATAGAAATTAACCTTTTGTAATTGCTATCGGGCAAAACTCTCCAAAACCTTTAATGTGCTTAGAAACGAAACTTGTCGTTCTTGTCTAGTGATATTAACTATTCCTTGGTTAAATTAAAAAATAAAGTAAATTTAATAAGTTTCTTTAGAAAGTTAAGAATAACTAAACTTTCATATTAATAATTTTTTCTAAAGTAAAAGATAAATAAAGATGAATATGTATTCTCTTATTTTTAAAATAATTAATATTCCTTGATTCTTTGCTAACTTAAAAGAAAAATTAGATATCAAAACTTAATTATTCTTAGCTTCCTATTAAAATTTTTGAATTTTAATTTATTTTTATAATTTAACTAAAGAATAACTACTATCACCTACCTAACAAACTTTTATCACATATCTAATGTACACGAGCCTAACCAGCCCCTAGCTCATGCTGCCATTAAAAAACCTAACAACCCAAGTACTGAGAACAAGGGCTAAAAGTGAACAAACCAAACGTAAGGATTCAACCTAAAAAAGTGCAATATTAAAAAAAAAAAAACAATCAATCCAATGAACAATGAAAGATAATGGGCTATTAACAATCAATCCAATGAACAATGAAAGATAATGGGCTATTAACTTAAATAGGCGTATGTGGGCAATAAAAATATAGTCTATCCATCTTCTGTTGGATCGTTAGCCCACTGTGGGATAGAATCCTTAAGAACAATTGGGAAATCTATGGCCCTGAAAATTAAGAGCTGGTCCTGAATGCTAAATCCCAGGGGCCAAGGGCCCATACCTTTAGTTATTCTATTAACCATTTTAATTTAAACGTTCACAAATGGAGAAAAGTGCTCGTCAGTTAGTTTTTAAAAATTAAGAAAAAAAATCTTAAAATTATCTGTTTTAATAAATTTTTATTAAAATAATTAAAATAATTTATCTTAAAATTACAATTGAGTTTGTTTTAATCTTTTTATGATACTTTAATAAAATAATATAATTTTAAATTATTTGTCTTAATAAATTTTTATTAAAATAATTAAAATAATTTATCTTAAAATTACAATTGAGTTTGTTTTAATCTTTTTATGATACTTTAATAAAATAATATAATTTTAAGTTATTTGTCTTTTTAATTTTTTAAAAACCCGGTTAACAAATACCAATCTCTTATAAATTAATGTTTTTACTGTTCATAAATAAACAATAATAATAGCCTTTAACCCAAAAAAAGTTAATAATAGCCATTGGCCAAAAAAATAAAAAAAAGAAGAAGTTAATAATCGCCGTTGGCCAAAATAAATTAAAAAAGGTTAAACCCCAAAATTTTGGGCCCTGCACTTTTTTACAGATTGATTGGGTCCCCAAACAAAATAAATCCTTGTTTTAGTCCCAAAGTCTCGCTCTTTTTTGGTCCCAAAATAGGGATTTAGTTATTTTTGGGATCATATTAGGGGTCTATATAAAAGTTTAAGGGCCAAAATTGAGATTTAACCTAATGACAATTTTGTGATTAAATAAATTTATAAAGTCAATGTGAATAATAAATTTTGTCTTAATAACCAATTTTACCCCCGCCGAATTTCTTAATTTAAAAGAAAAATAGTCTTGCCCGTTAATTAATGTGTAATGTAAGTTAAAATTTAATGAGAGAACCAAAAAATAGTCAAATTTTAAAACTTTAGAAATCAAAACAAAAATTTATTTATTTTAGGGACCAGATTGAGAATCTATATTAAGTTTGAGGGACCAAAATTGAGATTTAACAAGTGAAAAAAAATGTTTAATAGCTAATGAAACCTTAATCTGGTGGTTAAGGTGACTAAATTCTCTTGACTTCAATATAATGTAACAGTAATATCATATCAATTATATAATAAGTCAATGCTAGTTTAATATGATAATAAAAGTATTAGAGAATATTATAATGTAATCTATCTTATACAAATTGTACTATTTTTGATTATTAATGTAAAATTATATAATAAAAGCAGTTTATGCATGCTTCACTTCAATTTTTAAAAGTATTATATGTGGATAAGAAAGTTTCTTCAGTTACTACTGTTTTATTTTATTTAAGTGCCAAAAATGGGTCTATTATAACATGCCATATTTTATAGCCATTAATCGAATAATAGACTTTTCAAGTTCAGGGTGGTTCCCTTAAATCTAAAGTTCAGGTATTGCCCACATGCAATTTAGTCTAATTTTATGTTGGTAATTTTCTCATAAAAAATGGTTTGTTTCGTCTGATTGGTAATTTTGTTCAGTAATTAATTTACATTGTGATATTATAATAATGTATTGGTAAGTCAATGAGCGTGCTTATGAGTTATTTGTTGAAACTTGATTATAATTTGTACATACAATAATAATAAAAAAAAGGTAGGAAAATTATTTGTTGAAAGGGTAATGATATACAAACAAATTATTTGTATAATTTTTTTTTTATACTTTTCATATATTATTAAATTAATAAATATATATAATATTATGAATTTTAATAAAATAAAAAAATTATTAATTGAAATGTAAGATTGTATAAAAAAATTATATTTGAAAGCACACTTACGTTTCATATTGAGCAGGAATTTTCTTGCTTTATGTGTTTAAATAAATTATATTGATATCAGTATAACACTTATGGGCTTAAAATAATAAAATAGAGATAGTGATACAACTTACATAATAAAATTTTAATTATTTTAAATTATTTCTTATAACAATAATATAAAATTTATAAAATAAAATACACAAAATATGTATTAAAGGATTAATAATCTCAAAAACTAACAATTAGAGAAGTCTTCTCATTAAAAGAAAAAAAAAAAATCAATTAGAGGTCGAATTAGGTAAATTGCCTCCGTATCCATTTACTCCATTTGGATACTTTACTCGGGGAATTTTCCGTACCAAAGGGGCCTATTATTCACATTAGGGAAATTGCCTGGCCAACAAAAATAAATATATAAAAGAAATTGCGTTGTCTCCAAAAGGATCCACATTTAGATAACGTAAACTTGTCAATCAAGTAACAAATACGTGAGATTTTATAGTTTATTTTAATATTTTTGATATATCGAAAAAGTTATTTTTTAGTGATATAGATACTAATTATTTAATAATATAAAATTTAAAATTTTAACTTTAATTAATGGATATAAGCTTAAGAAATTAATGCGTATTAATCTCAATTTAAAAAAAATTAAAATTTTAATTTAAAATTTAAAATTTTATCTTATTAAATATTGATATTTTAATTTAAAAATTAATTATATTAAAATATATAATTAAATCTAAATTAAAATATCAATATTTAATAAAATATATTTTTAAA